GCCTCTCCGCCGCTGGCCTCGGCTCTCCCTCGGTTTTTGGGCCTTTCTCTGACTCTCTTTCCTTCCCGCCGCAGCCAGCAGCATCCATCTGCCGCATCCCGACGTGCTTCTCCGGGAGCGGACTGCGAGAGCGACCGTTCCTCGGACGCCTCAGTGCTTCCGTAACCCGCTGCTGCTGCAGGAAGAAAGCTTTTCCGTGGCGCTGCGTGGAGCAGCGAGAGGAACTCGTTCAATATGAAAACGGTACTTCTAATGTCTTCTTTACGAAAGGACAAGCTGGTCGTCCTAACGCTTGTAACAAAGCGGCCCGCTTTGTTCGAGAAACGCTTACTGGCTAGCTAAATGTGATGGAGCGTGCTATTTTAAGAGGAGCTGTAAAAGCGATTTCTTATCTGTTCAGTAAAAATGAGCTTTCGGGCATGATGGGATTGCAAAGGTGCACCCTGTAGTTAAATCAGCATCGCAGTTTCAGCAGCATGCATCTTCCCTATAAAGTCTCCTTTATAAATTTTAGGAGGACTTTGTTGTTTGCGGTGGGCATGACAATTACTGTTGTTTGGCAGTCCCGGTTGTGAATTGTGAAGCAGTTGCATTTGTGAAAACGTGCAGAGCTCTTTGTGTGGGTTTTTTGAGTTTTTTTTTTTTTTTGGTAATGTGTCAAAGGTAGGATATATTTAAATTCTGATATTTTATAGATTTTTCTGGATTAAAAATACCTTTGGGAGGCCTTTCCAGGTTTCTGATGTAAGTAAATTTGCTTCCTGGAGTGCTGCTTCTTGATTGCTTTTGGGCTGGTTAGTAACTGTTGTACCAGGCACCTCAAATCCTCATGTTTGTTGTTTTCTGCCACAAGTAGACAAGGCAATTGGCCTGTCCAGACCAATTCTTGTAGTTGTTCTGAATTCCTTTAGACTTTGTGTCTTTGGATATCCATCTCAAATACTCACTGAGGTACATCTCACCGTTTAAAGTGTTGTGAAAGTGCTGCTGAATTCTCTATAGTATTCATGTAGAAATACATGTGGCAAATTCTCAAGCATGTCTGTCTCTTGCCCAGGTATTCCCAAAGCAGAGATGAAGAAAAGGGGTTAAGAAAGATGTTTTTATTTCTTATTCTTAAAAGTTTTTTTTTTTCCCCCCTCACTTCATGTTTAAATAGCAGAAATAGCATTTTGTGTTTATATAGTGGGTTTGTTTTTTTTTTGAAGGATGTCTTACGGAATACTTTCCAAAGCTCCCACTTAGGAAATTTTTCCAGTGTAAGAATGTGCAGTGCTTACATTATTACACAGCTTGAGGATTGTTCAGTTACTGACAAGTGCTGAACTAGAACAATTGTGCACTAAATTTGAACCTTGTCCTAGTTCATCTGCTCATTCTCTCTTGATTTATTCTCAGAGGTCTACTCTTACCTCTGCAGTTGTACATGCAAATTCAGGAGTGATAGTGTTATAGAAAATCTGAGCTAGTTCACTTCTCTGTCCTTGTAGCATAAAGGAAGTGTGCTGTTAAGGCTTTCTGAAGCCTTCTATAATAACTTCTGATGGTTTTGTTGGTGTACGTGTAATGAACAGTTTCTTCTTTCAGAGTGTTTGTAAGATTTGTGCTGTCTTCCCAGCTAAAATTTGCTGCTTAAAGCCTCTGCTCTCCTCCTTTGAATTGTTGTATATACAACTAAGTAGTCCTATGAAGTGAGTGCTGAGGTTACCTTCAGAGTCATTGATCTGTCATTGAATTGTTGATATTTTTTTCCTGTCACATCACACTTGTATGTTTGCTCTACATTTCAGTATCCCACAAAGTATAACTTTCTTACCAGACCTTTAGACTCAAAGAGGAAAAAAAAATATCTCTAAGCTGTTTCATTGGAAGCATTTTATAGTACTTATGGAAGCTTAAGGATTGGAAAGTTGCAGAGAGCCTGAAACTGTTTAAAAGATGATCCAGTTGCAATTCTTGGGAGCATATGACAGTCATACCAAATGAGGAACAAATCAATGCTTTTTGCTGGAGCTCTCAAATCAGATTCCTTTCTGCCTGCATGTGTTTTTTAAAGTAATTTCTTGATGCTCACAGTAATTTATAAATATTTACTTTTAAAAATAGACAGATACAGAGTAGCATGTGGGGAAAAACATGTTTGTGAATAACAGTATCAGTGCTTATAGGTAATAATAAAAAACTTCTTGTACTGTTTATTCCATGTTATACCTTGTATATCAAAGTTAAAAGCTCCCTATAGGGGGAGGAATTTACTGAGGTTTGGACAGGGATTAGCATCTTGAATTTTCGAGAGTTTGTCAGAAATCTGGGTGTTCTGAACTCTTTCTGTGTAAAAGCAGGTAAACTTTTCAGGCCTACTTTAAGTTACCTTTAAGGTGGAGCAGTTAGTTAACTAGCTTGCTAGGCTTATGTTCTTGTTATTACTAAAATTGTATCTGTACATTACTGTCTTTTCTTCAAGATGACGGGATCAAACGAATTCAAACTAAATCAAACTCCAGATGATGGTATTTCATCAGTGAAGTTTAGTCCAAATACATCTCAGTTTCTGCTTGTTTCATCCTGGGACACAACTGTCCGACTTTATGATGTTCCTGCCAACACCATGAGACTCAAATATCAACATTCAGGAGCTGTCCTTGACTGTGCTTTTTATGTAAGTGTGTAAGGTGTATTTTTTAAATTATTATTTGATAGACATAGAGTGCCCGAGGTACATGAGAAATTGTCAATCCCTGAAATTTAAGGGATAATGAAATCCTACCTGAAATCTAGGTTAAAAAAAATAGCTTACTTTTGCCAATTATTCTTCTTTTGATGAATGTCATTATGGTCCTAAATATAGATATTTCCTGTGAAGAGTGCAGGTACGCAAGTAATTACTTTTGCCTATCACTTCTACCAGAAGAAAATTTGAGCTGTTTTGTGCTGCTTCTGCAGTGATGTGGTAAATTGTGTGTGTCTTTGTAAGAAAGAGTCGTACTGGAAGTGTATGGTCAGGAATCATTACTCACAATAAATGCCCATAACCAATTATTCTTCTCTTTTTAACCTTCTCATACGGGGTTGTTTTGGAAACACGGCATTGTTCCAAGTGAGCCATTTACCAGATATTTGATTTCTGTATTTTTAATGCACTGGGAACAGACTAAATTTATTGGTGCCACTTTTTTATTTTGCCTTCTTTTTTTTTTTTTAAATGGAAGGTTTCAGTTAGTATAATCTTTTTTTTTTTTTGCATTGTATTTTGGCATGTCCTCCAGTGACTTGATCTTGATGCGTTACTGAATGTTTTAAGTATCAGTTTAAATTTTTAATTCTACATGTGCTTTTTTTACTCAACATTCTGTCACATAGCTAATATTGTACTGTGGATCAACACAAAAGTTTTCAAATGGTTTCCAGTTTCCAAATCAGTTTTAGAAGGAACACACTTCAGTTAGGTGGAACTGGCACAGGTTGGCAATCATTTAAAAATAAGCGTTATGTGTTTTGCTGCTACAGAAATAAAAATAATTTGATATAGCCTCTAACTGTGTTTGTTTATTTTTAGTTTTAAATTAAAAAAAAAAAAGTATACCTGAAAGTGCTTCACTTAAACATTTTGCAAAGCTTCTGATATCTGCCTGTTTAGATCTGGTCCGGATCTTCACCCTTGTGTCTTAATTCCCATCTTCCAAAAACTCTTGAAAGCAAGTCGTGTGTTATGAGCCTAGGGCATTGTGTGTATAGCAGCCAGGGAAACATAATGCATACCATAAGATTAAATTTTATGCTTTATAGGATCCTACCCATGCCTGGAGTGGAGGATTAGACCAGCAATTGAAAATGCACGATCTAAACACGGACCAAGGTAAGCAGATTGAATTCTGTAACTGGTCTCAACAATTGGTCTAAGCTTCAGATTTGTGTACTTACAGGAGTGGAATATGTTCCAAGTTTTTTAGATGGGGGATATTTGCTTTAAATAGTAGCTTCTATTGATTTAAGTTGTCAGTACTCAGCAGCAACTCCTTTGCTATGCAGCCCTTTCTCATTACCGAGGCACTGAACAAGGCAGTATTCCTTACTGCGTAATTGAAGATTGTGCTATAACACCTTTAACAGAAGGTTAACATTGCTGCCAAACTGAGAGTTTAAACTTCTCCCGTGATGAATATTCATTGATGTATTTTACATGTGTATTTCTTTTTCATTTACTGATTTTATAAGGTGAAAGTGGAAGGAAAAGAAGTAGCTATATACTTGTCACACTCATGATTTAAGGTTCGCATCATATGTACCTTTATCTAGCAGAATAACTAGTGGCCCTCAGAAGTAGCACCTAAAAACATGGAAGCATTTGGTAGTTTGCCAGAAAGTTTGGTAGACACTTGTAGGACTCCATCAATTGGATTTCTGATGATAATCCTGCTTTGCCATAGGCTACTGTGTCTCAATTAGAGGGAATTAGCTAAGCTGAACTAAAACTGAGCATGTTATTTTTCAAAGGTTTGTGGTTTAGACATATTTAGAGTGGTCTTTCACATGTATGGCAGAATGTGTATAAAGCTTTTGCTTTGTCAAACATGGCCTTATACTGTGGTTTTTTTTTTTTCTGAACAACATTGCTCAAAAGGAACATAGTTCCAGTGCCTCATTGGTGCAAAACATGGAGCTAGTTTGTCTAACTTTTTTTTGTGTGTTTGTGTGTTAAAGAGAAAATTGAATCTTGTGCTGAGACAAATGTGGTCAACCAGAACCCACCAACAGCCAGGGCTCAATGATTTGTATGTGCAGTAATGTTATGAAAAAGGTCAAATAATTCTCTTACAGATTACTTTCTATAAGTGTTTATATTTTTATTAATATGTAATATTAATTCCTTTCTTTTGTCATCATGTTAATATATACAAGCTAAAGTCGCTTTCTGTCATAGTGTCTGCGTCGCAGGTGGTGATACCATTTGATACTGAACATTTCTTTATACTTCAGAAGATCTCTCTATGACTGCTTAAAATTCTTAACTTCCTTTCATAATCTCAAGGGACATAAGTCTGAATTTAACATCCATGCTCTTTGCAGAAGTTATGCTTCTGAAGATGGTACTATCCCTAAAGGGACTCCTAGCATATCAATACACCCTTGGGAACATCAGGAAATAGTGTGCTTGTACCAAAGTAGTGTGTCCTTTTATTCTTTATTCGACAGATTCTGACTGTTAGTAAAGCCAGTAAGTTACAATATGTTGTATTTTCTTACAGAAAACCTTGTTGGTGCCCATGATGCTCCTATCAGATGTGTTGAGTATTGTCCAGAAGTGAATGTCATGGTTACTGGAAGCTGGGATCAAACAGTTAAACTATGGGATCCCAGAACTCCTTGTAATGCAGGAACCTTCTCTCAACCTGAAAAGGTATGTACTGGATGCTGTATTCCAGGTGAGATGTTAAATAATGCATCCAGTGACTGGTAAACATCACCACACAGGATGCTGTGTTAAGCTGAACTGACTTCGAAACGTTACGTTTATGTTTCATCAATAGGAAAGCATAACTTAATTCTTAGCACTCGTGATGGACCGAATTCTTATACTAAAACAAACTTGAGGAAGGAAACCTAACAAAAACAGCATGTGAAATCATTAATAATCCTTGGCTTAGTTGTAATACGCATTATTGATTTCTGTAAGCATTAAGACTTCCAGATATATCAGATCCTGACAGTCATAAGATCTGATTGTTTTGAAATGTGCATAGAGGTATAGTAGGAGGCCAGTTATGTTGCCTGAGGTAGTATTTTGGGTTTTTTTTTCACTTGTACTAAGGTTGAACAGAGTTGCTTGCTTTGTAATCTATGTATCATTGTACTAATGCCTAGCAAATTCAGATACTTTCCTAATACTAAAATCCTCTGTGCTAATGATGAACCAAGAGAAATAAGATAAAAAGGAGTGTCTTAAGCTTTTTCTAGTGGTCATATGGTGTGTTAATCTTTATATTGCTTACAGTGGTGTAATTGAAAGAATTATAGAACAATAATTTCTTGTTTTTTTCATAGAATCCTAAACACAGGCTGGGTTGCTGGGTAGTTCTGCATACAAATATTTCTTTTTTTTGCTTATACCTTTTTAAAACTTCATTTAGCTCTGTCGCATGATATTGTCAAGTCATAATTATGAGCCATCATTACGTCCCTATTGCATCTAAATAGCTATTACTTTTGTTACAACGTAGCTGAATCTACTTCTGGCAAGACCTTTGTACAGAACAAAGTAATTGCATTATTTCTAGTTCTGATTTATAGTTGTATGTAGCATGTAAAGAACTGTGATAAATTGTTGACAGAATATCATATAATGGACAGCCACAGTGAATCAAGCTGCTTATTGGTTCAGCAAGGTTCATTATGTCATTTTTTTTTAGTGCTGCCTTTGATAAATGTGTACACCTACTCAACTGCATGACAATAGTTTCATTTGATTTATGATTGTGCAGTGTAGAAAGAATACTTGCTATACAGGTGTGACATCAGTTTGTAAAGAAGATTTAAGATATTTAATGTTCTTTATGCCTTTGTTTCCATACATGTATACAAACATTTTATATAATGTTTATTAATATTTTTTGATCTATTTTTGCATCAATAATGAAAGGAGATTTGAAAAACTGTCTTGTTAAAGTGTGTAATAACTACTGTTGGTTCAAAGTTTTCTTGCCCTTTATATGTAAGTGGGATTTGGCAATTGGGATTGTCAGAAAATTTTAGGCGACTCCTATGTGACCATTTAAGACATTACCCACCTTAAGACCTCAGTCTTAAAAGGGAAGTCCAATAATCACATTTTAGAGAAATAATGCATGCTGAATGAATGTGAATTGGTTAAAGGAAGCTTTTTCTGGGGTGTGTGTATATATATACACACATGTATATATACATACCATATATATACCCATACACACCTGTTGGCTTAGGGTTTTTTAATTTGAAGTTAACTTGAAAACACAATTTCTCCAGAAATGGTTATAGCAGATGAAGAGAAAAGTTGTTTCATGTGATATGTCAGTGCAGTTTTACCAGAACTGAATAGTTTTATTGGGCTTTATCTGAGAACCAGAAAGTAAAACTAGGTGCTTCAGTGAAATTGTACAAGCACGTGCCAAAAGTAAATTGAATCCTTCTGGCAGGATACCAGATCTCTTACACTTCTGATTCTAGATCTAAGGTATATACAGTGCCTGTTTCCTATGTATTTAGTTGCATTTAGATCACTTTTGAAAAAGCTCATTCTCACCATTTGCTCTTGTTAGTGGCTCAGTGACAGGGCAGTTACAGGTAGCTGGATTCCATCTTGCTTGTGTCTCAACAACTTGCAATTCATTTGATAGCACAGAATTTTTGACTGAATCTTTTTTCTTTTTCTTTTTTAAACACGCTTCCAGATTAACTGCATCCCAAGTAATAGTTGGAAACAGAACAATTTATATGAAGCTGAATATTTTCATGAGCCAATTTTTTGAGTACAGTTGAAATTCCAAGCCATAGTCTTTTTTTAATGTTGTCGAGCATATTGCTTCCTTCAGTTTCACTTAGTTTTATTAAAGTGTATGAAGTACTGTTTTTTAATGGTTTCTTGGCAATTTATTTCCCTTTATTAAAATGAAGCTCAACTTGAAGTATTCTGTTTAAAAAGAAAAACACAGTATTACCAGATGGAGGAAAACCGAGAAGAAAATATGTGATGTGGTATTGTAGGACTAAGCTGCAGGATCATGAATTGATAGTTGGGAATGCAAGCTGTGCATACCAAGAAGATGAATCTCAATGTCCATGGCCTTTTCCCCCGTTCCTTTTTTCCTCTTGCCTTGAAATAACCAATAAATGTAATGCTTGAAATAATTTTTGAGGAAAACTTTTATAATACTCATTTCCCTTTTAAATTATACACAAATACTTTTGTCCACATGTAGCATTTAGAACATGAGTAATACCAGCAAACATAAGAAGTCTCATGTGTGGAAGATTTAGATATCACTGAGGTCTGGAGACTGGTAATTGAACAAAAGTGCTTGAAACTTAGAATTGCACAAGTGCATATGCATGGGTTTTTCTACTATATTAGTTATATGTAGTATGGGGCTGCCTTGCGCTTTATTTTTTTTTGAGATATGTGCTAAGGTACAGAATTAAGGGTGAACTTTTGAAATGCTACATCAGTGTCTTATCACTAACCAACTGCATGTTACTGCTGTTTATCCCAAATTTGAGTTATAAATTGAAAATAGGGGAATTCTATAGCTATAGACTTTATTGTAGCTATTACCTGTTCTGTTATTGCATATTGCTGACATTTTATTTTGTATACTGGCTGCTAAGTGTTAAATATTGTAATTTTTTTGTAAAGGTCTACACGCTTTCTGTGTCCGGAGATAGACTAATTGTGGGGACAGCAGGTCGGAGAGTGCTGGTGTGGGATTTACGGAACATGGGTTATGTTCAGCAGCGAAGAGAATCAAGTCTGAAATACCAGACCCGCTGTATCAGAGCGTTTCCGAATAAACAGGTATAACAACCATGTCAATAATTATGTTTCTGCTTGAGTATTCTTTAGGGAAAATTTTGGTTTATTTTTCAAGTTTTCTGCATCTTTCATTTAAAAAAAAAATTCTCGTCTTCAAAGTTTCATAATCAAGTTCTGGGAGGGGGCAAAGAAGTGGTGTTGAGGCTTCTTGTTCCAGGTTAACTCTTTTTAGTAGCATAGCTTAGGAGTGTTTGCCGCTGACTTACCAGCATATTATGTTTTCATTTTTTCTCAGTTTTGTCTCCTTTTTTTAAAATAACCAATTTAATGGATCACAGATGCTGGCATGTGCTTAAAAAACAAACAAAAAGAAACCCCACAAAGTTGCAATAGAAGAGAGGAAAACAGAATTGGCGGTTGCTCGGCAGCCTTTATGCATGGTAGGCCTAGGTTCTTCAACAGGCTGTGAACAGGGGCAGGATTAAAACTACGTGAATGTTGTTTATATATTTTTCTTTCTTTTTTTTTTTTAACTCTTGAGTCTGTCTCATGCACTTAAGAACCCATGATCTGTTATCTAGGGAGAATTGTACAATTTAGATGACCGTACAGCTGTTCCATGTAGGTTAACATAGTGTATTTGCCGTATTTCTCTTTCTGAAGTGAAGCAAAAAGATTAGCTTTTCCTGACAAGCTAATTTGGAAGGGAATTTTCTTGTGTACATAGTGGTAATACAGGGATTGGGAGACAGAGTTACTTGTTCTTCAAATGGCATGAATGCTTTGTCCATTTTCGGTTCTAGTTATAGTAAAACAAGCTGATCTTCCAGATTGTATTGTATTATGAATTTTAAAGAACTTTGCTATAGCTAGATATCATTACAATTATTTCTGAAAAGATCAATTATAGGCTTAACTCAGAAGTTATAATAAAAGCATCTCAAGTTGCTCTAAGTCAGAACTGTAATTAACTGGGTAAGTGGTCACCACTTATAATCAAGTTTCACTGAAAACACTATTTCAGCTTGAGTGTTTAGCTGCTAGTATAAAGCACTGAACTAATTTTAATGTAATGTAATTCTGAAACTAGGTAGCTTAGAATATTTCTAATATTTGAGATATTTAGGCCTGGGGGATAGGTGGGCAAATACAAGGGGTTCTTAAGTCTTAACATTTTTTCCCCCAAATCAACTTGTTTGGACCTGCAGGGGTAATTAAAAGCCTCACTGTCAGCTTCAAACTATGGTGCAATGAGAATCTCTCAGAAAACTTTTTTTCTGCATTACTTCTTTCGTAGAAGCAGATTTTATTAATCATGGCATGGATCTGTGGTAACAAAAAATTTCTGGTTGTACACAATTTAAAACTGTTTACATTTTGTTTATTTGAATTTAGAGGGGTATAAGATGAATTGTATTGTGACCTCTTTTCCAGTTGTAAACTTCGAAAATGCACATCTCAATTTTTTTGGTAGGGTTATGTTTTAAGTTCTATTGAAGGTCGTGTTGCTGTCGAATATTTGGATCCAAGTCCAGAAATCCAGAAGAAGAAATATGCATTCAAATGTCACCGTTTGAAGGAAAATAACATTGAGCAGATTTATCCAGTTAATGCTATTTCTTTCCACAATGTCCACAATACATTTGCTACAGGTAGAGTAGATACTCAATTTTTTTGTAACACTTGCATCAAGCCTTTTCTTCATAATGCCCTTACTTTTTAAACATTTAAGTCGTATTTCTTGCAGTGAGCAGAGTTTTTAAAATCATTTGATGCAGTGAGAATTAATTGCTTTAACAGGGATTTTGGGAAATATTCATTGTGCTCTTTACTGAATTATGCAACTCTGTATAGCCCTGTTTTTTTACTGACAAAGTAATTCCAGGTAGTTTTTTCTTTTCCTTCTCTTTTTTTTTTTATTTTGCTCTATCTTTTCAGTCTTACCATTCTCCCAACTATAATTTAAAAACAGTTTTTAAAAATTAATTTTCAGGAGGTTCCGATGGATTTGTAAACATTTGGGATCCATTTAATAAAAAGCGGCTGTGTCAGTTCCATCGGTATCCCACAAGCATAGCATCACTTGCCTTCAGCAATGATGGAACTACCCTTGCAATAGCTTCTTCATATATGTATGAAATGGATGACATTGAACATCCTGAAGATGGTATCTATATTCGCCAAGTGACAGATGCAGAAACAAAACCTAAGTGAGTATGCTTCACCTATATTTGAGCCTTTCTGAGCATTCATCCCAAGATTTATTAATTTTCCTAAATTCATGAATAGCATTATTGATGCCAATAGATAGTGCAGCTTGACAGTAGGGTTGGTTTTGATTTTATCTTGTTCGCCCAAGCTTTCAATATCCGTAGGTTGATAGACGTCTGATGGATAAAATTGTGCCCAGTTGTTAGTAGAAGAAGAATGTCAAACTCTTATCCTTTTTGAATAGGTGCTATTATATGAAGCTGTGGACTTATTGCTAGCTCATTGCTTCAAGAATTAAGTGAAGAATTCAAGCATAATTTATTTGACTAAATGTTACTGTGTTTGGATATTTAAGACTTAGGATTAATGAAATCTTTACACACTGAGTATGCACCCAGCCTGTCACAGCCAGAACTGAATCTAGATGCTGTTCTAGGAAGGTTGTGTAAAATCAAGGAAAAGCTTTCTCAGTTCCCGTGTATTGGAGTTTGCTGCAGCCCTCTGATAACACAGTTTTCTATCATTGTTGTTTCAAAATGGGGCAAACTGATTGATGGAGGTAAAAGATTTCTGTTAAGCTCGCGCTGGCATGAATGTTACATAGAAGAATTGCCGTCACGGTGCAGAATTGCCCTACTCTTCATTATGCTAGCACAAGAGCAGTTGTTTTTATTTTCAAATTCCTGTGGTTTGTCATTGCTTTTTTTCTTCTTGTACTCAAACTGTCTTACACTTTATCTGGTTGGCTCCATTATTTAGTATCTAAGTGGCTACATAAATAGACACACATAAGTGATCAAAGTTCTTGAGTTTAAAACCTCAAGACCCGCCCCCCCCCTTAAGTGACTTGTATATTGCTTCAGAGCAGCCATTTTATCGCTGTGGAGATGAGGTGGAAGTTGCAGAAGAATAAATACACCATCTCTCACTTGGAGATGTTTGTTTTAAAATAATTTTGATACTCATGGAAAAATAAAACCAGAGTGTTTCAGTATTTATTTCTGGTGCTTCCTCAAGTAAAAAAAAATAATCTAAAGATGATAATTCAAATTTATTTTTAAAATCAGATTGTACTTGTTACATACATTTGGGAAGGTTTAAGAAAAAGGTGATAAAAGAATACTTGCTGCTAATAGTAAGAGCTGCATTCAGTTATTTTTGTTCATTGCTGTTTGCGGTTGCTAATTCTGTAGATGCTTCATTTTGCCGTATGAGGAGGTTAATCTACAATTAAACAATATTTCCTCTTGGCCCTCCATTATTTTCTGAAACAGATGGTTCATCATTTCCTGGGCTGTTAAACACAGCAAGGTTAAGGGTAGACTCTTGGGAATCAGCTAGTTTTGAATCTTATTAGGCTGTAGAAGGAAAACTAATAAGAATACTCCTTAATATCATTTTGTGACTGTAAACAATTATTTATTAGCAAACAATTGATCCCAGAAGGGCAAATTGTTTGAGTCAGTAATGAGCTGAGAAAAGACAGAGCATATCTGTGTATTTGGAAAATAATTGTAACGTAATTGCAATGCATTTAGACAGGCATCTTTTTGGACCTGTTTCTATCTTTAAATGAATTTCTGAAAACATTAACGAGGTTTATATGCTTTTCTGACATTTACAAGTTGCTTGTGCCAACCTTAGGGCACTAAGAATGATGCATATGTTTTAATGTTACAGTAGTGTGAGTCATCTCTGGTTTATTCTAAAAATAAGTTACTTTGGACAGAAGACTAATAGTTGTTTCATAGTGATCTTTTTGCATGTTAATTTGAATCACTGAGCATTTCTGCACAATGCATTCTTAAATGCATCAAGATGGTGCCATGTAAAGAAACTTGGCAAGATCAGCTTTTTAGATTGCTAAATTATTATATATTGTATCTTGATACAAATGTAAGCGGTCTTTCTACATGTTTCTGCTTTTATATCATGTTGAATGTTTTACTTATGGTTACTCTAAATATTGCTTGCTGAAATACAGTTTATTTATTTCAGATCAACTTAGAGGTCTATGTAGACTTCTGGTGATACTTCTCTACAAGAGGTGCCCACCTGCTCCTAACAAGACTAAACTAAAACAATAGAAGTGAGAAGAACAGTCTTTGTACTGGTGGTGTTTTTAACGAAGAAATATTTGTTTGTATATTGTAGTATGTCTTAATCTGTCATTACTTGCCTGCTTACAATGTTAGTGAAACTGTTTTCTTTATCTGCTGTCTGTAGCTAAATTAGATCAGTCCTGTAGGCAACTTTGCGTATACCTTTATAAAAACTTACCACACTTTGTAGTATCTAATTATGAAAACTTCCAGTGGTCTCATAATTGTTCAATAAATATCCATAGTTTTTCGAAAACAAATACTTTGTGTAACAATCTTTTACTGTTTGTGAAACAAACATTAAGACCAAACCTTTAAGTTGCAAGAATTCTTGAGTTCTAGATCTTCCTGATGGGAAATTTCTGAACCTTTCATCTTTTTCCAATGGGATGAACTGCAAATTTCATCATTACCCAGGGATGTTGGCTCTCCAGGCCATGTTTTCACAGGGCTGTGAAAGCCTGAAGTTGCATTAGGTGTGCTTGCTTATCTCAGTGACTTGATTGTTACTGCAGAATCATTAACTCTTTCTGGAGGAAAGAACTTGAACATGTGGTACTTTGTTTTTTTTTCACATGCTGCAGAAAGCCTAAAATTAATGATGCTTGGGAAGAATTGTGGGTAGAGGGGAGCAAATGTAGAGTTTCAGCCTACAGCTGAAGAGTCTGTTCCACGTCTGCAGGTATGACCTGGTAGCCCAGGTTTTATGGAGTAACACAAGTGGAAAGGTAGAAAAAAGGAGTTTCCTCAGAGTGGAAATGTCATTCTGGACACACAAACCCATGAAAACACGGTATTTCTCTGAATGTCTTGTTTTCCTTATTGCTAGTTGGTAAGAAGTCTAATTTGTAATCAAATATCAGCCTTTTGAGGAGGTTTTGGAGTGGGGAGTGGGTGTAAGAAGATACTTGAGCTTGGACAAATTAAAAATTTCTTAGGAAAGTAGTAATTTAGGCACTGTGTGTTTGTTCTTTCTAAACAGGAGTGTAGATCTGATCAAGAGACGAAACCTGCAAATCAATCTTCTGCTAAAAAGAATATACTCAATGTTGTGCTTTCCTGACTGGTTTGTGGAAATAAAGATAAATGCTTTCTGATTAGTACCACCAATAAAAGCTATCTCATCCAACTCTGTTTGCAGAGCAGACTCTCAGGCTGCTTTCTTAACAGTAGCTGTATCAATTGTTTGGGAGGTATTTAATACTTAAGTATTCAGGTTGTAATGAATAGTAAGGAAGGACAGAACAAAACTCCTATGAGGTTTACCAGAGATGATTAAGGTATGGATATTTTGGAGCGGTGACTGGATTCATACTTTACTCCCAACTTCTGAGTTATCAGTGCCTGCGTAGGCAGTGGGAGTACTTTATTACCTTTAAGAAAACAAACTTGCTGACAACAGAGATAGTAAGAAATAGTAACTGATCGTTCCGGAGAAGGTGGTGATGGAAAGGAATCTGAGCTCAGTGTGTGCAGAAAGCTAACGAACTGTTACCAGATAGAGATAGTAAACTAGTTGTATGTAGAATATGTTATAATTTGTCATGAGCTAGATATGGATTCCTTGATAATATAAACTGTTTTTGATAGGTTTGAAAAAATTAAAGATCTTCCTGAATTAAATATGAACAATGCCGTCACTACAGTAGCATCCAGCCTCTGTTCTGCTAGATGTGCACCATCCCTGTTCCCATTTTAACTGGCTTTTTTCATTGAGGATACTTGACTGATGTTGTCCAAAGGTTGAATTTTTGATGTCAGCTTAGGAAGTGATGATACTTGATGGTGTCTTGGTGTTTGAGTTGTTCTGTTTTTTTGTTTGAACGTTTTCTGAGGAATGAATTGGTACATAAGGTCTGGGGCCTAAATGTGGGAACCAAAGGTTTCTGTGAGAATGACTAGCAAAGAAATAGTAAGCAAAACCCCTGGTTTGAGGGGTGACTGCAGGTTGAGACAGCAGACTTTGTGTTAAGAATACTATCAAGCGTTCCAGGGTTGCAGACCACAACGTGTATGTGTGTGCAAGGTTTAAATGCATATATATTTGCAGAGCTATTTGTTGTTTCTTCATCTCTTCTTAGCTGAGAGTGTATAATATTACAGAATATAGGATTGAGTCCACAAAGAAATTACTTTGTTGTTACCTAGAAGTACAATAGTGACCTTGCTTGCACAAAAGGAGAGGCCTGAGGTGAGGATGGGTCCAAAGAAGTAATGTATGAAGGCTGGAAATAATGAAAAGATGGAGAAAGGAATGTGTGAAACGGAGAGAGGATAGAATGGGGAGGAACAAGGGTAGAATTGTGGGGAACAAAGTGAAACAAGAGCTAGAGAAAGTGGGGGAAAACAGAGGAAGAATGAGGGCATTTACAAATTATTTGTGTAAAAGTAGATGCATAACATAATGTGGAAGTAATGCCACCTGTGCAGTTTTTTCATTGGTACGTATCAGGAAAAAATCCTGTTAATTAATGCTTGACGTACTAAGATCTGCATGCTTCAGTGGACAAAGGTAGTCACAGATGCTTAGGAGGAAATGGATTGGCTTTAATAGTTCTATTTTGTTTTAAAAATGGCAGGAAAATTCCTCGTGGTGTGTTGGTGTTTTATGTAAATGCTTGAAAGAAACAAGAGCCTGTAGAAAATAGTGAGACAACCAGGCATAACAGAGGAGAAATGTTAGTTGGTCGGGGCTACAGCTGTGTCCAAATGTTAGGTATGAATATGTGCCGTTGGAATACGGATATTTCTTTTACTAAGATTAATCTTCCTTTTATTAGCTCTTTTCTAGAAATGCTGGTCAAGGCAGAGGTTCATAAGCTGGAGAAATCGTGAAACAAGCCTTTTCTGACCTGTATATAACAAGCAGCTGAACAAAGAGTATATACTGAGTCTTGATCA